GAGGAAGGGGAATGTCAGGCGGGTGCACATTGTTAATTGTGTTTGCTAAGGCAAGCATTATTATTGCATATATGAGGGTTTAAACCAACCTTAATACAACCCTTGGTGCATAACTTGCACCATTTATGCTGCAGACATGAATGATGCTAGCACCTTTAAGGTACTAATATGCAGCCTTTTGGGGTAAATAAGGTACAAAAGTGTCCCTTTTAAAAAGGTACTGTCCCAGTGACAGCTTTTGTACCTTTTTTTTCTGAGAGTGTCCAGTTTACAAAGATGCTAAACAAGAAATGCACATAGATTTATGAGTGTTTTTAAACTACGCACACATTTGGCCCTGGATTTAGAACATAATTAATTAAAATAGAATTAATTATTTTGTAGATTAACATTATCCTGTCTATAAAAAAAAATGAGATCACATCTCAAACGATATTTAGCATTTTCTGTGATAGAAATGACGATGGTGGATGTTACATTTAAAAAATTTTTGGAATAAATAGACAGGCTCTTTTGTATTGATGATGAATTCTTTCACATTTTATTATAATTTGACAAATTACAGCTTGATTGGATATTATACACAAAAAATATTCTGTTAGCAAGTGATATTTACCTTGATTTGTCTTGTTCGTCACACGTCACATCTCATGTCTCCTGACACTGTTGTCTACTTGTGAAAGGGATATCAACCACAAAAATGAAAATTCTCTCATCATTTACTCTCCTTCATGTCGTCCTAGATGTGTATGACTGTCTTCAAACGGTCTTTCTTCAGATGAACACGAATGAAGATTTTTAGACAAATAATCCACCTCTGTGAATCCATATAAAGCAAGTGTATAGGACCTCAAAAGTCGACACTTCAAAAACAACACAAAGTGAACACAATGATAACTCGTACAACCCCAGTAGATAAATCACTGTCTTCTAAAGCAAAACAAAAATTGTGTGTGAGAAAAATACTAATCATTTAAATGCACATATTAGAGTTCACTGGAAACAATAGTATATTCAAAATAGCTTTTGAAGACATTGGTTCATCTATTGAGGTTGTATGGTTTACCATCGAGTTTGCATTGCATGCTTTTTGAAGCATCAGCTTTGTGGGTCCTTTGTATGTGAACTCACAGAGATGGATTATTTTTCTAAAAAAAACTTTTGCACTTATCTGTAGAAAGAAAATCCTCTTGAATGGCATGATGGTGAGTAAATGATGAGAGAATATTTGGGTGGAGTATCCCTTTAAACAAGTACTTCACCAGAAATGTATTATGGGTAAATATGTTCAACATGGTCAAAATTACACTGCATCTGTTGTAATTCTTGAAAAATGTATGCAAATGAAATATATATGTGTGTATGTATGTATGTGTGTGTATATATATATATATATATAATTTTAGTTTACCTTGGTTTTAAATGTAATAATGATTTATTCATGGATTTTCACATTGTTAGATAAAAAAAATCTGGGTTTGTGACAAGGCAAACACAATAAAATCTGCACAAAGTACATTTGAAAATTAAAAGTAATAAAAACAAATTATGAATGTGTGGTAAGAAGTTTTCATATGCAGTTTAAATGTGCCTTTCTAATAATAAAAATATTTTGTTGACATCACCCTGGTTCTTTCTTTATTTATTTTTATTATTACAGAAAATAAGCAGAAAATGTGTCCAACAAAAGTTTATGATTCTTACATGTTTTGTTCATCATGATGATCATTTATGAATTTTGAAGCTTAAATACAATCGTCAGAAGCAGAAATCAACAAAATATTGGCAAACAAAATATGCCAGTGCTTCTAAAAATTCTTTGTCTTTTTTAAAAACATTTTCCCTGAAAGTTTGAGTTACAGTAATTTACAAGAGCGCGGATATAAACGGTGAGGCTGTCAAAGCGACTAGCGAGTAGATGAGTTTACCTGTTCAGTGTGATGATGTTTAATGACAGTCTCTGTAGTTGCATTTAGCCACTTGTTAGTAACTGCCTTTTTCAAGACAGGTAAAAGCTTTAAAAAGAATTACAGTTAGGGTGTTTTTATATGGTGGAATCTATTTTATATGGTGGAATAAAACGTGAAAATATCTTGAGCTTGTGTTCACCACATACATTATTTCAGGCATTCAACCAAAATCCCATTCAGAAAACCAATTGTCTAAATGACAATGAATCCGGAAGAGCTAAAAAGTGAACTAACTTTTGGGTTTTTGGCTTACAAATATACATCATCCCTGCAGTGCTCTATTGACTTGAGCCTGTAACAATCACCCAGAACGTCTTAGCAACCATCTATCAACACTCTAGCAACTTTCTTTCATTTTCAATATGGGAAGTCGTGGCCTAATGGTTAGAGAGTCGGACTCATAACCCAAAAGGTTGTGGGTTCGAGTCTCGTACCGGCAGGGATTGTAGGTGGGTGGGAGTGAATGTACAGCGCTCTCTCCCACCTTCAATACCACGACTGAGGTGCCCTTGAGCAAGGCACCAAACCCCCAACTGCTCCCCGGGCGCCGCAGCATAAATGGCTGCACACTGCTCCGGGTGTGTGTTCACGGTTTGTGTGTGTTCACTGCTGTGTGTGTGAACTTTGGATGGGTAAATGCAGAGCACTAATTCCGAGTATGGGTCACCATACTTGGCCACATGTCACTTCACTTTTTTTTTTTTTTAATATCAAGTTATAATCAATGTTGAGTTATTTCAGTGCGTGAAAAAGCGGAGCAGGTGTGGGCACTTCTCTGTCTGTCTGTGGCTAATGGAAACAGAAAAGATGTGTTCCCCAAGAGTTCATTGAGATTCGATCTGTGTGCCAGAGTTCCCTTGAATTTGTAGTACTCCCTGGGGTGTCTCCTCTAATGGCTGGTGAGTCATACTGTGGTACAGGCATTATATTACTGTTAGTTTGCCAGCTCAATGCTCTCTCATCATTCACAAAACACACAGTCATCCGAACCGATCATTACCCACATCTACAGCACCCGTACAAGTCACACACGCACACACCTCATATAAATAATTACTACCCGAACTGAATTGCGTGGTTGTAATTAATTTGTGATTTTTTTTTATATTTTTTTTTAAAGCTTTAATGATGGCCAGAGGATGAAGTTGTCTTTGTTCAATTCAAACAGTAATAAACCCTCCATGGCATGTGTCATGAGTCATCTGCAATAAATCGGCACAGATAATGTAGCTATAATGTAGTTATTAAAAATCTCTCTTCTGACTGTCCCCTCCTGCCACAGCTCAGTCTATTTCTGTCTCTGTCTGCAGTAGATGAACAGTCTGCGAGTGTGTGACTGGAAGTCTAGACTGAGTCCCTCACACTCTTGCACAGTCAATCAGAGAATTACCGAATAGTGACGAGAGCTTCAGGCAGAAATAGACTTTATGAAAGGTCACAGTTTGCCTCTTTAAAGTCCGCGTGAAACTAAATGGATCATATTTACTTTTTTAAATGGATTGTCCTACCAAAAATATATCATTTACTCAACCTCATATCATTTCAAATCAGTATTACCTACTTCGTAAGCCGGTGAAATTCAAAAGAAGAAATTGAAAAGAATTTGCTGATCGCTCCTTTCCATGCAGTTGTATTTATTACAGACTATTGTAGATATTAAAGCCTCCAAAACAAAACAGAAACACTATAAAAGTGGTCAGTAAGATTTTTCTGAAAGAAATTAATTCAGCAAGGATGCATTAAATCGACTGAAAGTGATAGTAAAGACATTTATAATGTTACCAAAGATTATTATTTCAAATAAATGCTATTATTTTGAACTTTCTATTCATCAAAGAATCCTGATTTCCACTCAAATATTAAGAAGCACAACTGTTTTCAACATTGATAATAATCAGAAATGTTTCTTGAGCGGCAAATCAGTATATTATTATGATATCTGAAGGATCATGTGACACTGAAGACTGGAGTAATGATGCTGAAAACTCAACTTTGTATCACAGGAATAAATTATATTTTAAAATATATTACAATAGAAGACAGTTACTTTAAATTGTAATAATATTTCACAATATTACTGTTTTTACTGGGCTTTTGACCAAATTAAATGCAGCATTGGTGAGAACATTAAAAATGAAAAACAAATTACATAAACGTTACTGACCCCAAATTTTTGAACAGCAGTGGACATATATTCAAATGCAAAGCAGTTATTTTAATTAAGAGGTCATCTTAAATTGTAATAATATTTTACAAAATTACTGTTTTTACTGTGTTTTGAGCAAATTAAATGCAGCATTGGTGAGAACATAAAAAAAAAACATAAACCGACCGACCCCAAATTTTTGAACAGTAATATACATATATTCAAATACAATAAAAGTGTTTTAAAGAAAAGAGTTAATCTTAAATTGTAATAATATTTCACAATATTACTGTTTTTACTGCATTTTTGATCAAATAAATACATCCTTGGTGAGCGTAAGAGACTTTAACATTAAAAAACATTTAAGTGACCACAAATATTTATTTTCAATAAATCAGTTTGTCCGGTTCACATTTTTCATTGCATATCCTGTTTCACTCAAATATGCCACATTATGGAAGTGAAATGGGTTGCAAATGTTGATTTTAATGTACATTAATTGATTTGATTACATTTTATGAGCACAAACCCAATATAACACTATACTGCACTAACATTTTGAGTGTTTTTCAAATGTTAATTGTCCATATTAATAATTCAACAGTAAAAACACAACTGTCACAATTTGACAGAACACAGTATGCTAATGGAAAAGTTTGGACAGAATAGACTGAACTCTGTTTCAGAGTCTGAGGTTAGGACTATTAGAGTTTCACTATTTTGTCATTGACTCATAGAAGAGTCCGTCTTTCAGTTCTTCTTTGTGTTTAATCCAGCTCTAAATGTGCAAGCGAATATGCCTTGTCTGTTCTTTTCCACCGTGTCTCAGTAGACAGTCCTCTTCTTCATCAGCTGAGCCGTGAACTGTCATTATGTTTCCACAGACCATGGAGGAACACATGGCCTTCATCATGACTGTGCCCACAACTCTGGCCATTTTTCTCACCATCTTCATCCTCGTCTGCATTGAGTCGGTCTTCAAAAGGCTTCTCCGCCTCTTCTCCCTGCTCATCTGGGGCTGTCTGGTTGCCATGGGTTACCTCTTCATGTTCTTCGGTGGGATCATCTGTCCATGGGACCAGGTGAGACTTGAGTGACAGCACTTTCATCGCTCTCCATTTCTGTGCAATTGTTCTTCAGTGACTGCCTTCGACCTGTACGGCTATCACTTTTTAATGTACCTTTTTGTCACACCGAAGTGCTCAGAATTAAGTATTCGGCATGCATAAAACACGACTTGCGTCAGTGCGATTTATATATGTAGATGTGCAAGTAAATTACTCGGATGGAAAGCGCTGCACAATCATGCAGATATTCACTTAACGCGGTGTCATTTTCCTCCAGTCATTTGCACAGTAATTCATGAATTTTAGTGTGCGAGCTGTTCTGCGCACTGAATCATTCTCATTGAACTCCGCTTAACACATGATTCTGGCTAATGACTGTGACACAGTCTCAACATAAATGCATGTCTTAGAGTAATTATGACAATTGGCGCTATTTCTGTCCGCCTCTGCATCCATAAAACGAATCTGGTATTTTTTCCTATTTAAAACTTGGCTTCTCTGTAGTTACAACGTGTACTAAGACTGACGGAAAATTAAAATTGCGATTTTCCTGGCTCTCATTCCGGTGTAATAATCAAGGAACTTTGCTGCCGTACCATGGGTGGAGCAGGCGCAATGATATTATGCAGCGCCTGAAAATATGCCAACTTCTGTTAACATAACCAACGTGACCACCTGCTTGCACAGGGAGCGTGCTGGGAAATATTTTCAGGTGCTGCGTAATATCACTGCACCTGCTGCACCCATGATACGGCAGCAAAGTTCCTTGATTATTACGCTGGAATGAGAGTATATTTCCTTGCCACTTCTCTGTAGTTACAACGTGTACTAAGACTGACGGAAAATTAAAATTGCGATTTTCCTGGCCGATATGGCTAGGAACTATACTCTCATTCCGGTGTAATAATCAAGGAACTTTGCTGCCGTACCATGGGTGCAGCAGGCGCAATGGTATTACGCAGTGCCTGAAAATAGGCTAACTTCTGTCAACATAACCAACGTGACCACCTGCTTGCACAGGGAGCATGCTGGGGACTATTTTCAGGCGCTGCGTAATATCATTGCACCTGCTGCACCCATGGTACGACAGCAAAATTCCTTGATTATTACACCGGAATGAGAGTATAAACCTTTAAACCGACTTGCTTGGCTTGTTCGCACACTTTGTTTTTTCTTTTTCCCGCTCTGCGAGGAGGAGGTGCAATCAGCCCAGCCACCACTCAGCAAGATGGCAAAAACATCTGCGCTTTGGTCGTCTTTTATAAACAGCTCTTGAGTTATGATATTACACTGGCTGTTGTAGGAGGAGAGATCGGCTGTTCCGTGCACGAGTAAATGTAGCTCGCCCGTGAGTCATCCAGGCTGTTTGCTCGACATGACTTAATAACTTAATAACTCGGATGGGCTCAGTGATCTGGAAATGATGAGATATGCATATACGACACAAATTGGCTCTGTATCAAAGGGCGGCAACATTTTACTAGGAACTGCTTCAGTAAAAGCTAAGTGGCACCTACATGACATCCATTTTAAAAAATTAGCCATAAATATCCCACTATTCTGGAGAGGTTTCTCCATCAGAAGTGAGATTATGAATACCATATTGATGAGTGGCCCAAAGTTGTAGTTGCATTATTTGATTGTGCTTCCTCAATATAATAATTTTTTTTCAATTGTGTTTTCTTTTCTTTGCCTTTGTTTTATTTTTGTCCTGATTTGCTTTGCTTTTGTTGTTTTTTTTGTTTGTTTGTTTTTTTGCTTTGCTTTCTTTGCTTTTCATTTTTGTTTTTTTGCTTTAGTTTGTTTCTGTTCTGTTCTGCTTTGCTTTTATTTATTTATTTTTTGCTCTGTTTCTTTGCTTTGCGTTGTTTTTGAGTTTTGCTTTTGTTTGTGTTTTGCTTTGCTTTAGTTTTTTTTGCTCTGTTTTGCATTGCATTGTTTCATTGCTTTTGTTTTGTTTTGCTAGGTTTTGCTTTGCTTAGTTTTTTTCTCTTTTTTGATTCGCTTTGCTTTGCATTTCATTGCTTTTGTTTTGTTTGTTTTTTTAATGGCTTGTTTTAGAGGCACAGGGCTAAAGGAAGTAAATTACCTTTAACTCTGTTATGTGTTGGTCCATATTTAGATGAGCCACAGTTCAGTTTATGTATAGAAAATCTGGGCCATGCTAACCAGCTTAACCTTGAACCTTTATCTGCTCCAGGCTGGTTAGTGTTGGTTTGGTGCTGGTGTAGATTGTGGAGCATTACAGCCATGCTAAACGGTGCCAACTGGTGAAACTGTTCAACCTATGTTAAGAAGCTACAGTTGAGACATCAGCACACCAGCATCCAAGGCACCACATATGGTGGTGAGCAGCTACGCCGGTCTTTATATCAGTTCTCTGTCATATAAAGTACTCCCTAAGCTTGGTGCAGTCTGAGCTCACATGCTGTGACTGAAGGTTTAGCTCTAGAGGGAACCAGTCGTCTGATGCAGGAAATTCAGAGAAGCCTGCTAATACGTCTTTGCGTACGTGACGGGAAGAACTAGTCAGGTTCAGGCGATCTGAATAAGCTACCACCTAATTAGCACTCAGAGTACTGCAGCAAAGTACTAATTAGCAAAGAGTATCTGGATGTGTCTTGAAGTAGCATATGTGCGCTTATTAGCGGAAGTGAATGGCACAGTAGCTGCGTCTACAGTAGTTGAAGACTTAAAGAGCTCTATTAGGCTATGCCCTATTTAATTTCCTGTTTTTACTCTAGCCTTTTAAGCTACACAATGTGCTCTTAGTACAGTTTTCTCTGTGGTTATGCTATTTGACGGCCACATTGCTTGAGCTCTAACAAGCTGTATACTTGGAGTCGCTTTGCAGCACTTACAACGAAAAACACCCAAACTATAGAGTCACCAGCATGGGTCGAGGTACTACTACTGCAGATGAAAAGCCCTCACTATTCCTCACAGATGTCTGTAATGCAGGCATCATTAACCCACAGCATTAGTTCTCCATTAGAGATGCCCGTGAAAAGCCAGCAGCCTTTGTATGTTATACAGGAAAGAGAACATAATTGAGCTCAGAGTCAGCAGAGGAACAAAAGGCAGCCGTACTCGCCTTACGCCAATCAGCCTGAGGGCAAATCAGAAGAAAAGACCTCTGAAAACACACACAGTCTTGTGAAGCCTTGTTTCCTACAATTTGGTGTTGCCAGACGTGCCAATTGAATGCCTTATGAAGGATGTAAAAGAATGATGGGGAACTAATGAAGTGATGAGAGAGTGAAGGTGGCAGACAGGTGAAAAATAGATTTCGATTCACTTTTTTAATACTTTTTAAGGAGGAGGGCAAAGGAAAATGCCTTGTGTTGTTTCAGATAAACTGAGTGAAATCTGGTAATCAATGGTGATTGCTCTAAGAGGGTGCGGGAAACGCGTAGTGAGAAGTGGGAAGCTGCTTTTAGCAGCATTGCAGATAGTCACTGGGATAAAAAAATATATGTAAACACACATTTTGTCGTTGATGGCATCTGTGCATCCCCTCATTTGAAAAGCACCAGCTGCCACTGCTGTCAGTCATGAATTAATGCAGTTAATGCATTAAGGTTAATTCTGGTTGTAAATTTAGGTTGTAACACTGTAAATTACACAAATAAAGTACACATTATAATTTTTTTCACCTTTACTAATGTTGGTACATTTAAGGTACTAATATATACCATTTAAGGGTTAATAAGATTTAAAAAAAGTTGTACCTTTTAGCTTTTGCACCTTAGGATACCATACCATTGACAGCTTTGCACTTTTTCTTAGAGTGCTAAATTTAGGTAAAAGTCCTATTTAGTTATTATAAGTAAAACACAATGGTGTTGAATGACAGTTTGGCCTAAATCAAAACACTTAAAATAATATTAATAAAAGCATTTAATTTTTATTTATTTGTATTTATTTATTTATTGCATTTTAAGCTAAACAGCTTAAATATATCAGTTAAATGTTTTGAAATAATGTGAATAAGTTCGGTATGTTGTTATATACAGTATATCAGTAGTATGTCAGTTTTATGTCATTAATGTAAATTTGCTGTTCTCTGTCATACCAGTTTAAATTTAAAACCAATTTAAATGCTGTGTGCTAATTATCCTCAATTCACCCTGTTTATTTGAGTTATTCCTGAAATCCATAAGTGTGCTAGGACTGCATGTGATGATAACACTGTTTGATATACGTTTCATCATTATTTTTTAATGGAAGGCTTTCAGATTATCAGATTATTCCATTTCCATTTGCTTTCCTAATACAAAAGCAGTGCAGACTGGTTAACCAGACATTAGAATCCCAGTAGACCCAATAATCTTATTCACTATGAAAAAGCAAACCTGTTAAGTGTGTCTTATGTATTTACTATCATCTGTTGCCTTAGCAACCCTTGAAGAATATGCTTTACATATGTTACAATCTAATTTTATGTGATGGTTTTATAGCAATAATATCTTAACACAATATTCTACATCAATATAGCTATAACATCATGATAAAACTTGAAATTATATGTTAAAAAGGCAATTTAAGGTAATGTGAGTAGAAACAAATTATGTATTTACAAACTGTACTCATAAAATATGCAGGGATAACATATATATGCATATATACATCTGAATTTCTCATCATTCAGATTAATGAGAAATAACCCATAGCGCATCTGTTTGCATTTTAATTTGTAAAATTTTTGTTATGTTGTTGCCTTTTTGTGCTTTTTATCAGTTCTTGTTTTTTTTTTTTTAATGTCTATATAGGTTTTTATTAAATTTCGTTTTAGTTATTTTAATACATCAAGTTAAACTAAATGAAAGTGAAATAGCTGATATAAAAAGGTTTTATATATACAGTATATAATAACCTCAATCCAGGAATAGTTCAGCTGAAAATGTATTTAAAGATTTGGACACCAAATGATCATAAAATCTTTTATCAACTTAAATAATCAGATTCTCTACAGGGACACATTAATAATGAGCTAAATTATAATTAGACTTGTT